TGTTTGCCGCTCGTCTTTTCGACTTTTGTGTGTTATGTGGCACATAGTTTCCTCATCAGTATGCGAAGCGAAACGTTTTGCCATTTTGTAAACAGCGAAGCAGATGACGAATGCAAGTTGTCTCCCGATGCCCGGGCGCAAGATACAAAGACACGTGACCCGTATACCCCTTGTAAAATCACGTGATTCCACCGTATTACTGCTGAGAATCACGTGACATGACCGTATACCCCCTGAGATTTTCGTATACCCCCTGAGATTTACGAATGCGGTTTGGTACACTGTAGTTTTTAACCAATCAGATTCCTAAATTTTTCTCAAAGGAGTAATAATATATCTTATCCCGCCTCTGACAAAAATGTAGCAATTTCATTGGCTTGCGCGAACCTCATACAAACCCGTATTATGCTACCTGCAGGGGGTATATTTTCTGTATTACCCCTCTGTGGAGCCTCACTATCGTGACGTCATGACGCCATGTTTTCGTGACGGCAGACGACGTAAACAACATGGCGGCGAGGTTTGCTTCAATAAACGATGATGAAATCAAGAGAATTAGGACGGATCTATCTTCTCGCTACACACAAAAAAGCAACAAGTGATCGGCAACAACACTAAAAGATCCAATTTCGAAACGTTCGACAAAGTCGCACTAAATGAGACGCTGTCCCACTTTTACATGGACCTCCGGAAATCGGACGGGGAAATGTACAAGACAACCAGTGTGGAAATCATTCGCCACTCACTGAACAGGTACTTGCAATCCCCACAATTCAACAGAAAGTTAGATATTATCAAAGATGATGAGTTTCGCGACGCAAATGTCAACTTCTGATGAAATAAACAGATAGTCATCGGCGGGATAAATTCGTTACATAGTCACTTGCAGGGGAGGAGGTATACGGAAATATATGGTGTCCATCAGCTTTTTTCATGGACCCCATATATTTCCGTATACCCCCTGCAAGTGACTATGTAACTAATAATATGTCACAAGACATATATTATATCATATGTCACAAGACATATATTCTTCAACACTTTTGACGTAAAGGGTAGATGCGAGAGAGAGAGAGAGAGATTTATTGGTGTCAGTATTATCATAATAGTTTCTGGTAGTTTAGTTTTACGTGAATAGATAAGGTCATATGACGACGTACACTGCATACACAGAGGATAGGGTCAAGTAAGGTATCCCCAGGAAGAGTGCAGCAGAAAATACCCGGTTATAAGGACACCGCATACACAGATGATAGGGTCAAGTAAGGTATCCCCAGGTAAAGTGCAGCAGAAAATACCCGGTTATAAGGACACCGCATGCGATCATTTAAAGGAAGTTTTATTGCATTTTGCTTGTAATCTTGTTAAATACGGCAACTTTATTCCACAGTACGGATTCGTAAATCATTACTTTGTTTTCTAAATGATAACGAATTATAAATTCCCGAATGGTTGACTTTAATTTCAAACATAAACTTCATCGGTAATAAAACAAAAAGTGTTGCGGCTTCTGTGTCAGCAGTCACAGGTTAACTGACAAAGATACCGGTTTTCAGATACGAGATATCAATCTTCTGTATCAACAGCCACTTGTGGACTAACAAATCCAGATATGGTTTGGTACTTGTGTCGGGCGGAGCAGTGACGACCACGATACCGTAACAGATCAACAGCACCGTAACCAAGTCCTTTGCACTAGGCGCTCCCCTACCATCATAATGTGTCTCGGAGCACTGACTTTGAAATATACCATTTATTAATAAAAACGAAATTTCATCAGACGAATTCGAAGTCTTCATAAAAAAGAATTCCGGAAGTATGTAATCGTTAGAGATTCTAACTGACATACATGTTAGTGGGGAGGTAGTCACTTAGATTTAATTTTATACCGTTAAATGTTATCACAATCTTAGAAACAGATAGTCATTGATGAATTCATGCTGCTTTAAAGTACTTGGCATTCGTTGGATGTGAGGTTTACCGGTGTTACATCTGACACGAGATAACGGAGTACGGAACGGTTGTTACACGGTACATGAGAAAACGGAATCGTACATATACAAACATCTGCCAGACGGAATAAAAAATATTTCCAAAGTATACATTTTACAGCAGGTGTAACAGAGTGGATGACATATGCACGTCAGATTTGAATTAAATGCTGATCCCCTTTAAAGAGAAGACAATTCATGCCGGGAGGTGGGCCTGTTACTGTCAAGGCGCTATTTATGTTTTCACAAAACATATATGGTTGATACATCTAGGTACCTGATCTAACGGCATGTCAAGCCTGGCGTGATGTCCTGTTTCCGTACAAAATTAGCCTCATTACGTATGTTATTTTCGGTTTGGGGTTGACTCACTGATAAACTATTATCATTTCAGCAACGTTGTGTAAGCTTACTTTATAAATTTGATTCATCTTTTATCTTAAGACAAACATCTGTATGTATTTACTGCGGTGCAGACGGGCGTTTCTAAGGGAGATAATTCAACACCTGGTGAAGACCCACTTTTACACTGTATCTGACACGAAGGCATAAAATAATAAGCCATGTCGTCATTCCTTATCTTACTGTCATCTACATATGTGGTAAGGAAGGGCAAACTTAATATTGCTGATTCAAGCAAAGAAGGTACAAGCACTGCCAATGCCGTACGTGCTAACAAGTAGGAGTGTACGCGTCTTGTTCGACCGGTTCTCAGTCCTAATTTTTGTCTGAAAATTTGCGGTAAATGTTCTGCTTGTACAATTTATATTAGCAAAGGGAAAAGTCATCTCGTATACTCCCGCGTCTTTTGTTCACCAGACGAAACAAACATGAGCATCACTATATATACATATCACATTGTAACGTGGTCGTACACTGTAATACTATTTTGCGTTGTTGTCGCTTTCTCCTTTTATTTACTGCTGTTAAAGATTGCTCTTGTTATTTTTTAAGTTAAATGTTTGCGTTAGAGTAATTCCTGGGGATGTGACTGTGAAGTTGGTCACATGGTCAAAACACCGATCTGACAGCTTGATCATTGTTCTCTCTTGATGTCGATTAATATACCTTCAGTGTACGAGACGTAGTAACCTTGTCGTAGTAACCTTGTCATGGTAAAATTGTCATTGTCAGGTTGTCGTGATATCGTTATTGTTATAACGTTGTCGTGGTAACGTTGTCATGGTAATGTTTTCGTTGTAACGTTGTCATGGTAACGTTGTCGTGGTAAGAGAGTTTTAAGTGATTGTATATTGTATAATGGTGCCAACTAACCAGAGCCAAACTTCGTCCAAGAGGACACAGCGACAAAAATGAAACTTCTCATCTTTATAAGGGAATGTTAACAGGTTAACTTTCCCCAGAAACAGAAATGATACCGAATACAAATCATCGGGAGACTTATCTCAACTACCACTTATCTCATTCTGTCCCCTGCATACATTTATATGTACTTATACAAACGGTCAGTCATTGCATAAGTCAGCAGCGGTCTTCATTGATTTTGGTTTTTCTATATGCATGTACTACTCAACGTGACGGCGTCATAACAATACCTGCGTCAGTGAAAAGAAAATTAGAAATAACATTCCTTGTTAAATTACATGGGAGGTATTCATTTTTCCTGTAGATAAAGATTAATGTCTACATTCAGGAAATAATCATTTTATCGAAGCCATTTCGACAAGCGCCGCTCTAATTAAGAGATCCCAAACCTGAGATGTGGGGCGCCGACTCGGATAAAGCAGCAGATTATTCCACCTACAATAATGGAATAATTTAGTGATTTCTGCATTATTACTTGTACAAAATCTGTGTTATTTTCATGTAATGCACGTGCCATGCGTGAGGAGTTTAACGTGCCAGAGCTACCCACTACGACATCGTATTCTGTCCGCACCAATACACCCAGACATTTGATATACACACGAGGCCTGTGTCCTTGTAATTTCTGTCCAATGGTTTTCTTAATTTCACTGGAATTGAAAAAAAAACCACGAAAGCTCCGAACGTTAAAAATTAAAAATAAGACCTCTCCCCAGAGGCCTTGATAAACACTTTTTGAAGGTCTTTTTATGGTTACATACTTGTTGAAGGTCTTTTTATGGTTACATATGGTATTTACAACATCATTTCTTTGGCAGAAACTGCGTCCCATTTCTGTCTGTGACGGATCAAAAGAACTATAGGTAGATTCTTTACAGCTTCTGAGAAAGAAAAAAAGTTTATGTGTGGATGCCTTCCTTAAAATAACACCCAAGTCTAGAGCCCCTAAGTAGAATACAGAGGAGTCTGCATGGTCACCACATTAGTTACCTTGTTCACGTTCGCTTATACAGGAAAATACAGCATGTCTATTCATTCCCCGAGCCTGCACGGGTACCAAGTATAGAAAAACAAGCCGATACGTCAATCTCCTTTTTGCTATATGACTTAAATTTCTACTGATAAACTTAATGTATTAACATCATGTAATACTTGTAAAACAGTTGTTTAAGAAATCATATACACAATTATATTTTTCATTTGGTTGCGATTAGAGTACCAATGCGTGTTTAATACATTTAACGTAAGGAGAAGATGAAATCCGAACCTTCTAGACTTCGCGTTAGATCGCCACACGCATACACATTATTATGTAATCAAAACAAAAATATAAACTTGGCTCATATGTCAGAAAAGAAAATAACAGTGGATCGAGTTAAAGATGTTTGTTAGATCGGATTTGATTGAAACATCAGAACAAATAAATAACAGTATAATCAACAAAAAAAGTTCAAACCTGTTTCTCACCTCCACAGAAAACATACCTTAAGTATATGTAGTTAAGGGTCTGTTGATATTTCGTTTTCTCAAAGCACAATGTTTTCCAAGGAAAGCGATTGTTTTATATTGTCTAATTTTAGTACTGATTTGGTTGTCTTTGTTCTGTTGTCCACGTTGGTCTCTAGTTTGAATGCAGTTACAAGGACAAGTAAGTCTGATATTTCATACATTTGAATGTTTCAGAAACCCAACCCTCGGTCGCCGCGGCTCTTGTATACCCACAACAAGCCCTTTTAGGGGATATCGTGTCCCCGAAATGTTGGAATTTCACCAATGGCGACCGTCGACGTGCGGAGTTCTACAGCCCAAACTATCCCGAGGAGTATCCGAATGACATTGAGTGCGTCCAGTACCTCGAAGGTATGTAGCATAAACCGATGGATCGATCACAAATCTCTAGGTATACCATTACAAGTGATAGAAAATCCATCCATCACTTTCTTAAGTTAATTTTCTTTTTCTGAAAAAAATAGCAGAACAGAAAATTGCTTCTATTCCATGCATCCTTTTTAGTTGTGCGGTACCTTTCCCAAGCTCCATGAGGTTTTTTTCCTTCCAATTCCAAACCAGCACCACCAGCTTAGTGGAATATAAACACATTATTCAAATTTATGTTTCTTAAACGACTTTTGGTACACTTTCAATTAACATTTCCATTTGGCGTTGGCCATGTGTTGATGGTCCCTCGGTATAACTGTCGTGCGTCCACTAACTGTACGCCGCGCCGAAAGGGTAACGAGTACCTCACCACCAGCAGTGCCAGAATTTTACAAAATCAGAGTTTTGAAATTTAATTATAAAAGTATGTATTTGTGTAATAAACCGCGCCTGTGTGTATGTGAGTAGGGAACGTGCTCGGGTGATGTATTAGATCATTAGTGACCCCCTGCCTTCCTAGAAAATTCTGTTTCTGATTCAATCAGCTCTGGCCACCGATTATGGCTATGTCACCCTACTAAGACGAGAAAAACACTCCCATTGCGGTTGAAGAGTTGTGGTTTTGGGGAGGGAGCGGGTAATTCTGTCACACCCTCACTCTACCTAGCGGTCCGAGAGAAAGTGTGTTGAGCCCTAGGATACGGAAGGGAACTTGGGGCCAAATCTATGATATTTTTTACCACTAAAGCGCTCCCCACAAACAATGTACCAGTATGTACATTAAACTCACACCAGGGTTACATTAAACACATAACAGAATGTTAACACATTATGAGGTGTGCATTTAAAATTTAGCCAGGGCGAGATTTATCACTTAACAAGATCCACATTACAATGTTCACTCCGTTAATTTCTTTTAATGTTAATGTCAGTTGACATTAGGGATTACTATCGTTATCAGTTTGATCGTTTGTTTTTACAACTAATATGCTGAATCCGGGCCCTTGGTACGTCCGATATTTCATGGTATCTTTGAAACAACTTGTTAACAGATTCGGGTTAAATAAGTAATTCACTATAGCTAGGCAGGGTATACTACAGCTGGTATAGCTATTAGAATGTGTGTAATAATAGCTAGCCAGCTGTACAATGTGTATGATACACAGTTGACGACCACCGCTTTCTGAATTACATGTTCTATGTTTTGTGTCATTCTATGTTGAGTTCTATTCTCGTATGTATTCTGAATTAACACGAACAGTCATAAAGCAACACCGGGGCCAGTATTCACCAAATCGATCTCATGCTCAAGCATGGATTTTGTGCTTAAGCTTAATTTCTTGTTTCGTTTATAAATTAATGATAACATCTTATTCTGTGAATGATTTGGAAAAAAATGAAGAGACTTAAAACCGACAACTGTTTTCAATGTTTACATCTGACCTTTTGAACGTTTGACAATATTTCAGTTAGTTACAAAAAAATACGTTTGAGCACAAAATCCATGTTTTTGAACATGAGAACGGTTTCATGAATACGGGCCCGGGTATCATTTTATACTGCAACGTCTGAGAATACAGTAGTTCGCGGCATGTTGTGTCATAGGTCATCGAGGATGAACGAAAATAGAAAAGAAACATTCCATTTAATTCAATCTACAAGTTGCCCTAGGCCTACCTAATCCCCAAGGCTTTAGTTTGTTTCACCTGACTAATGCTCCACAAATTGATGTTCCTTAACTGGGGAGTTTTATGTACTTAGTAAAGCAAATTCCAAGATGAAGTACTACATAGCATTGCCATTATCTCAGATAATCATGGCGCTTTTGAAATTAGAAAATCATGATAAAAATGTCGGGTTTCTTTGCAATAAGACGTCTCCCACGTACCTGTATGGATATTATTGTAAGGAAGCGTCAGAGTGACATTGAATGCATACTTGGGGTTATGTAAGTGTGTTTTCTTCTCCCTATTGTTGTAGAGTGGGGGTGGGGCATTTATATTTCATTATTTCTTTAAAACAATGTTGGCATACTTCATTCGTTTTTATAAAAAGACAAATAAAAAACCACGAAATATAAGCTCATATACATATATTAAAATATCTTATATACTCTCATTTTTAACAATGACAAGATGCTGTGCTACACTTTCTACACCCGTACATGCTTAACGCTCTAGGGACCCTGTCGAGGTTACAACAGGTGCAGGGGAGTCGATCCCTGGAGGCCCGAACTGGTACATCTTTATATATCGTGTACAAGCACTCAGCCTAAATCCCCTAAGTATAGGGCTTACACCCTGGCAAAGATACACGCCCGATAACTTTGATTTCGCCCCCATGTTAATAAATCCATATTGCAATGCTGATATGTCGGTATGTTTTTGCACTTGTCTCTCCATCAGCATTGAGCGATAATCACTCATTTATAGACGTTTTTTTGCAGACATTCACTGATAACAACAGCATTTGAAATCACTAACAAAATCCTTGACACAATGTTAAATCCATCTCGCACATATCTAATGCATAACTGACTGGTGTAATTAGTCGAGGTTTACTAGTTTACTGAATAATCTCACGCCAAACGGTTTATTTTCAATGCAAGGGATATAAGAAAAGACTTTTTAAAACTATCATTAATGAATCTAGTCATATTCTCGGCAGAATCAGTATATATTTTGTGAATATTCCAAGTAAGCGTGGATTTGTACTGCGCTACCTCTTAACACATCATCCCACAAATCACAGTTCCATACACTATCACTGTTTACATACAAACGCACTTAAATGATTTCTCCAGCTAAGTCCACGAACACATTTTTCTCTCCTATGTACAAATCTAGGTCGTAGACTACAACCAATGTCCATTTAAACATTCTATAAATAACAGCGAAATGCATTTTCCCTTTTAAAAATCTTGAAAAGATCAAAGAAAGTCGAGAAGATAACTGTGAGACACTGTATACCGAATGGGACTCCCACATCAAAGAGTTCCGATAACAAAAATGGCGGAATGTAAACTTATGTGTAATGTGAAAGATGGCTTCTGTATACCACATCTGGGTTTACCCGTGTGAAGATTTAGAAATTAATGAAATACTGAATTGGGAAAAAAAATCAAAAAAAAAATCGTAGGGATGAGACACGTTACATGCATTAGGTGTGCTCGTCATTTTACTTTTTTGGTAATAAATTTGTTCTGTACCTAACCAGAAACGACATGTTGCAACTCTTTTGGAATTATACACATGTTTAAACATTCAGTATCGAGCGTTTGTGTCCATTTCTCATCATACCGCGAGATACTTCACAGCTGCTTTGTTTACACCATAAAGAATCACCTTTCTACTCATGTCGGTATCATCCAAGCTGATATTGACCGACGTCTTTACAGACGCGGAATAAACACATCTCCCAATAAATGCTTAAAGAGGTTCCTTATTTATGTATTTATAATATTTATTTCTGATCTTACTTTAATTTTTTTCTAATTACCAGCTCAGCCCGGTTACCACATTCACGTGGATTTCCGAGGAAGTTTCGACGTGGAGAAGTCGGAAAAGTGCAAATACGATTTCCTAGAATTCCGAGACGGTCCTTTCTCCTACTCCCCGCTCATTGGGAAATACTGTGGCAAGGACTTTCCTCCCCTGATTCGCTCTACCACTCGGTTTATATGGATACGATTCAAAAGTGACAAAAACCTTGGTGATAAAGGTTTCAAGGCTATCTACTCCTTTGTAAAGAAACAAGGTAAATATCAAACATAGTCTCGCCTTGAAAACGACATAAGCAGAATAAGTATATCTTTAAACCAATACATAATCTCAGAATGGATGTTGAACGATAGGGATACACCGACCTGTGTAAGTGCTACCGTTGGACAGGCTCCAAACGTAATAAAACAAGAGAACATACGGCTCTACTTTCAAAACTGATTGTTCAGCCTGAATAATATAAGCTATTGTTAAGCCGACTTTTTCTGTATTTTCAGATTATAATCCAAAAGAAGAAGACGCAAATGGTAAGACATATGTATATTTTGTTTTAACTTTGAACTACGTCGTGAGCAGTATTGCAGCCATTTGGTAGATACATTTTGTATGTTGTTTATTTCTAAAAAAACACAGCAAGGCTTCCATACCAGTAACACATTTGATCTAATGGGTCAATATATAATTTGGTGAAACGCAGAACTTAAAATGAAATTTACCTTAGTAAGCTCGCTAACAACGGAGCATGTTTGACCAATGATATACATGTATACATTAAGCAATATATTAACTTGTTTTAATTTTAACAATGATGATAACTTTCATTTGTATTTAAACATGTAACCTCTGTTTGTTTTCAGTCATTATTTTCACCGTTTGTCGTTGCACAAATTCCAGTCTATGCAATGTTTAAGCTCGAAGTATAAAAACTAGACTTGTTTTTCTAGTGTGCCGGAAGTTAGTCAACACCATTGACCCGGATGGAATATTGTCGTCATCGGAGTTCTCCCATCATTATGACGACATGGACATCGGTGGTAGTCAGAGAGACTGCACGTGGGAGATCCACACACAGCCCGGGAGTAAGGTATCGTATACAAGTACACTGTATAATATCGAATTCATTATCAATGCGATAATGGATGAAAATACCTTTGAATGATGAAAATAGTTTTAAATCATATCGTTTTACATTCTTTTCTTTACCATAGTCCTTAATTACCATAGTCCATTAAAACTTCAAAGGGACACTCCACTGCTTTGTTAATGGACAATTATTGAATCGTTTTCGATATGTTCTTTTGTTAAAAGGTTTTTTTGTTAATGATATACATACTAACCACGGTTTTTGTGTAACTTTTAGACAAAAGTTTACAATAATACTTTAACGAAATATTATTGTTTACCTGTATATTTGCCCGCCACATACAGATCCGCCTGTCTCATGTCTCGGCCTGGTTCCCCAGACCCCAGGACTGTGGCGCCAACTACGTCGAGATCTACGACAAGTCGACGGCTTCGAAGGACCGGGTATTCCATTACTGCAATGGGCCGCTTCCGGAGTTCGAGTCAGTTAGCAGCCGGGTATTTATTCGACTCTTTGGCAACCAACCTGAATCGTTTCCCAGGGTAGAAGTACAATATTCGGTGTACCAGAAGGTCAACGCCGGATATTCATCTAGTGCAGGTGGGCAGAGTATTCATAGTCTGTGTATCATTGTATAAACTAAAAGCAGTCAGACAAAAGACAAGGACATAATAAAAGGCTATTCTGGATATAAAAAGTAAAGACTCTGAAACATGATGATGTATTCATTTCATTACCTCCGTAAAACAACGCTATATTTTAAGTATGCGCGTGCGTTAATACGTGTGAGGCACTCTGTTCCCTTGTCTGACCTTGAGCACATTTTGCTGTAGGTGACGAGTGTAACAGCCCTGGAGAGTTTTTCTGCGACAAGTGGTGTATCAGTAGCCAGCTGGTCTGTAATGGCCGAAGTAATTGTCCGCACGGCGAGGACGAGCGGAACTGCAAACAGGAAGTCGGTACGTATTCGTGGGGATATCACCTGCTTGGTAACAAATGATCAACAACATTTAATCGAACCCTTCGTTATCTTCTTAATTCTAATTAACAGAAATACTGCTTGCTACAGTGACTAGGAGGAATAGTCCATCATGATAAGAATTGGTAGGACATTCATGTTCACAACAAACAAAACGTGAAAGTAGTGCTGCACCATTGATATTACTACAGAAGATGGACAAACCATCCCATAAAGCAGAGTGTATTTGTCATTTTACTCCTCTAAAAAATATTGCTGGTAACCAACAACCGGAAAAGCATTAAAATGTGAGATAACTTTTGGCGCAAAATGTACAGTTCATAGCCTTTTCATTTCCCTTCAGAATTCAGCTTGCTTTGAGAATAACGTCCCACTCTCAAGACGTTAAGTCTCTAACAGCGTGACTGAAAACCAGATAAAAATCAACAAACTTTTGTTTAGTAATTGCACAAGGCGTCATATTGACAATTTCAGGAACAATTAACCCAAACATGCCAAGTTGTTTTTAAAAACCTCGTTTTAGCGTCAGTCTCGCTTTAAAACCGCATGCATTCCTGCTGTCTGTCTACCGTCCAACGCATAATTGCAAGTTAGACAAGAACTAGTGAAATGCCATCCCCCGTTACAGCGCGCAGACACCATCGTGATAGATATAATCTCGCACGTCGCGACAAACCACGCCCATTTCTGGATTACAGCTCCAGTTTACAACGTAATTGTTCTTATGATTAGCCACAAAATTGGGCTTAAACATTTCAAAGACATCTCCACAAAATGTTAGTTTACGAGGCCAAATAGTTCTGGTTAATAGGCATTTTATTTTGTACTTGAAACTAGAATGTATTAAATGCTTGGTACGGCTTGGATGGAATTATTTGATTTAAACCAATTAAATCCTTTCATATACTTTCATAAATATTCTGTCTTTTAACCCTTGCGAATATATATGTTCGCGCTGTTCATCGATTCCGAGAACAAAAGAACCTCATTCCTACACCAGGTCGGAAACTCTGTGTCATACCGACTTCATACAGTCAGTATCATTTTTAGTTGGTAAAGACATTGAAACTTATATAAAAAAAAACATCAGTCACATCGAAGACATATCGAGGAAAGAACGGACAAATATCATCAATATTCTAACTACTCGTATAGACGTTTCACCTTAAATTTCATAAGAAGGGTACGTACTATATTTTACACGGAGGCGACCCAAAATGATTCCTTAAAACTATTAAAGCCCTGTCGATTCCTTATCTTGATGTATACTTTCATCACAAGCAAATTAAGGAAATTGATCACTAACGCAGATTACAGCGGAAGTAGTTGGGTTGTAAATGAGATATTTATGTCGACTGGGACCATATCTTACCGGTAAAATACAACTAACCGGAACAGTGTTGTGAAACACTACACCAAACCATTCACTCCGTATCAACAGGGTTTGTCAAAATCTGCACATGTTTCAGGATCAATAGCACATATCTATAGCCCTAGCGTGGGTATCTAGTCTTCCTTCATTGTAACTATAAGCAACACGGTTTTCAATTTATCGGTATCCCATATCGTAACTGTCATTCAAGGTTTTGATAAGTGTTTCAACAAGGTTAATGTACCAAACCACATCTTGTCAATGTTTGAAAACCTTTTGGCATTTCAGCTGTAAGCTATTCTTCTGAAACCCTTTCTCCAGGAATAATGCCCAAACTAAATCTTAGATATGGAATATAGGTATAAATATAGGTTTATAAGTAAATATTTTTTCTACAGATATTAAAATATGCAATAAAAACTCATGTGTGCAGTATTTTTACTTCTTTAAGGAAGCTTTTATTTAGTGTTTAATTGTGCCATAAGATCAATATAGAAAACTAAAACAATAATAGGGATTCGGAATACGGACACTGAGCGTTTATCGTGGTCAAGAACTATATTTGGACGCGGTTCCATACAGTGAGACTGCACGCTCGTGCAGTTCGTGTGCTACTTGTACTATTTACACATCCAGCAGACTGGTATATCACCCTTACGATTGCACGTCAAGTTTAACCATAATATTTATACACGTGAACGGCGGACCATTGACACGTGGTCAGGCACTTGATTAGAGCGATATCAACACCATCATTTCTGTGGGGCCGGAGGGGTCATGTACTGTCGAATCTGACAGCCCCAATTACACATCCAAACAAAGTTCAGTTTTAACATCATCGTCGTACTATTGTTCTTGACGGTATTTTGTTATCATTATATATATCGAAGCAAACAATCATTAGAGTGCAGTTTCACAAAACAACATTATCTCTTCTATCTTGTTTTGTTTTCGATAATTTTCGAACAATACGCATTATTACAAGCATAATAAAAAACAACAAAATTCATTGTTAGCGAAGTGATATTCAAATGGTAAATATTGTTTGAGTTTCGATACTATTTGAACAATGCGCATTGTAGCAAGTATAATTAAAATCAACTCTGTTCATTAATATAAACTAGTCATTTGTTAGTTAGGAACACAATATACCAGTTGTATTGACCAGTCTCTTTCCTAGAGGCCAGATCAGCGTATCACGCACCGGAAGTTATCAATTACTACGATAACGTGGACGGGTCTGGTGCTTATTTAAGACAGAAGTCGGCATATTGACTTGAAGATGATCTAGACATGTGTTATCATTTGTTTCGTAAACATGTAGTCATCGCTGTCGGCTTGTTTTTTCTTGTTCTGTAAATAGTTAGCTTAACTAATAAAACATGGTTCAGTCTGACGCCATTCTAATATATCAAATATTGCCAAATTAATTTTACTCCTGGTTATCACCTTATATTGCTTGGCTGTAGTGTTAGAATATAATTTGGTGAAGGAGTATGAACGCATGTTAATGAACTTAGAAAATACACCAATTGTTTTCACAATAAGATAGGTATTTAATACACTTTCTCGATTCACAAAGTAATCTTTAACACACGGCCATGATAAGCTAACAAAGCATAACACTGCCTCCCACAGGAGCCAAGCGTGTGCCATGTCAGTGGTGCATGTTCCGGCAGTTATACGGCCCAGCCGCGCACGTGAGGCCCACGGCCACCCCCTGATAGGTGCTGACGTACCTGTGGCTATTGTTGCTAAACAAAGCTCAAACATATGTACGCCCCGCAGCCGACATGTTAGCATTATCGCAGACTGGAACCAGAGCCTAGTATCCTCTCCTTTCCCACACTCTACTGACACCGGTTCGCGATGTATACAGCAAGGCATTGATGCTAAAGGCTTGTCTGTCTTCACGGTTAAAATCGTGTTGGAATATTCTATTGTAATTTCCCAAATAAAACTAACGTGTATGATGAGCATTACACACACCTACAAACACAAACCAAACCTACTTCCTACGACGTGTCTTGGGAGCATCTTGAGCTATGTTTACACCACAGGAACGTTGCGGTCGTTTTCCGCTCAATTAAAACCGTAAAATACAACGTATTTCTATATATATCTGGACATTGCAAGATTCGAAATAATTTTCAGTCTTTTATTATATTTTTTGCGAAATGGTAGCATGTAACTGATATGAATGTGTCGGATATTGTTGCATTGTGATAATATAAGCCAGGGTATAACCCGTATTTTCTATATTTGTATGTTACAGTTGAGGAGGTGACAGAGATACCTCTACACATGATCATCCTAGGGGCTGTAGTGGGCGTCATAGGTACAGGAGTCCTCATTGGGACGTGCCTCACGTGTCGTGCCAAACGCAAGCAGAAGCGAAAGGACAAGGAGGCTCAGTTACAACAAGCCAAGCTCAAGGAAACAAACATGGAAATGACCAGCAATAGCTCCAGTACCACCCTGTCCAGTAAAAAGGGAGGCAGTTATCCCCCGCCCTACTACTCCCTCCCACGACCCCACGTCAAGACGCAAGGCATCGTCCGTGAATACACACACAGGAACAGCTTGACCAACTCCCTACAGTCGCCTTCCGAGGGGGAGTACCCGGACCAGAACTCCGACCCCGGAAATTACAAAAAGTATATGGTTATGGACCAGTATATGGAGGAGGACTCGAGCCCGTCTCCCTCTGTGTATAACCAGGGCCCGCCTGTACTCACCACTATCGTAGAGCGACACGATATCCCTCCACACACTCCCGACATCGATCCCACTTACGGCTGGGGCGGATATGGGTGGCGACAACCACGTACTATGGGCGAACCTCGATCGCCCATGTCCCCGCCGACGCTCAGCGAAAATATAGCTAAATTAAAACAATATACGATTCCTAAAAACCACCCTGGGTACCAACCAGAAAACAAAATATACAACCCAGAAACCAGGTATGAGATTTATCCGGAAACCAAATTTCAAATTGGGAAGGAATTTAAAATGAAATATGGCATGATGCCGGACACAGAAATGATGTTAGAACAACAAAAGTTAGGGAAGGAATTAGCGACGAAGTACGGAACGCAACAGGATGACTTGGCCATGGAACAACAAAAAATGAAACAGTTTAAAATGCGAAGCCAACACCCGGATATAACACGTGATATCGAGGTGACGTGAGGCTTGTGATTACATTCAACATGTAATGAGTTGAAAATGAAGTATTCAAAAGCGGCATGTGCTTACATGGAAGGATCTTTTGACAGGTACAACCTTCTTACTGCAAGTAAATAAAGGTCTGATGGCTAGAACCACAGGCCCATTGTCGGACTAGGATGTCCAACGATAAGCGCGAAATAGGATGTGAAACATGTGGACGAAACAACTCATAGGTTTGTGTTGTTCAATATCGTTTACTTGGAGAATGAGTTTCAACACAGAACCATATAATGGGTTATGGCGATGACAAACCTCTCGAAAGTGTTTTGATTCTTGAACGTGTGTTTGATTTAGATTAAAATATCAAAAATGTATGCAAACGAAAGAATGCATTATTCAAAAGGTTATTTAACTACCTTTATGACAAATATTTTCGAACTCATGAGATCGACAAACACTTAAGAAAGGAGGAATTAACACACAGGTATTCTCTGAGACACAAAGATAAACATAGATGTTTACAAAAATGCATAGGCGCAATCGTGATCACCCACCAATGATCACAATGTGATATCCACACGATAGTCACATGGTGATGGCCACAACATGCCTTACAGGCGAAGTCCATCTAAAGTTTCACAAGGTGATGACCACACAATGATTACTAGGTGACTGACCAAGTGGTACATCACGTGACCATATTACCGTGAAGACACCTATCTATACAACACTAGTATGGTGTACAGTAGTAGACACAATGTTGGAGAAGTTGCAGTGCAATTGTGTAAGGTTGCGATTTCGTTATGAATTGAAGAGTGCTTCAGTGAGTGGACCAGAACCGAGGTATTGACTGTACAATTAAAACTTACATCTAGTGAACGGTCGACTGGTTATAACCTTACATATTGTGTACGGTCGACTGGTTATAACCTAACATCTAGTTTACGGTCGACTTGTTAAAACCTTACATCTAGTGTACGGTCGACTTGTTAAAACCTTACATCTAGTGTACGGTGGACTGGTTATATATAACCTTACATATTGTATACGGTCGACTGGTTAAAACCTTACATCTAGTGTACGGTCGACTTGTTAAAACCTTATATCTAGTGTACGCTGGACTGGTTATATATAACCTTACATCTAGTGTAAGGTGGACTGGTTATATATAACCTTACATCTAGTGTACGGTCGACTGGTTAAAACCTTACATCTAGTGTACGGTCGACTGGTTAAAACCTTATATCTAGTGTACGCTGGACTGGTTATATATAATCTTACATCTTCTATACGGTCGACTGGTTAAAACCTTACATCTAATGTACGGTCGACTGGTTAAAACCTTACATATAGTTTACGGTCGACTGGTTGAAACCTTACATCTAGTGTACGGTCGACTGGTTAAAACCTTACATCTAGTGTACGGTCGACTGGTTAAAACCTTTCATATAGTTTACGGTCGACTGGTTAAAACCTTACATCTAGTGTACGGCGGACTTGTTAAAACCTTACATCTAGTGTACGGTCGACTGGTTATAACCTTACATATTGTATGGTCGACTTATTAAAACCTTACATCTAGTGTACGGTCGACTTGTTAAAACCTTACATCCAGTGTATGGTGGACTTGTTAAAACCATCCATCTAGTGTACGGTTGACTGGTTTTAACCTTACATCTAGTGTACGGTCGACTTGTTAAAACCTTACATTTAGTGTATGGTGGACTTGTTTAAACCATACATCTAGTGTACGGTGGACTGGTTATTACCTTAAATCTAGTGAACAGTCGACTTGTTAAATCCTTACATCTAGTGGACGGTCGACTTGTTAAAACCTTACATCTAGTGTATGGTGGACTTGTTAAAAACATACATCTAGTGTACGGTGGACTGGTTATAACCTTACATCTAGTGAACAGTCGACTTGTTAAATCCTTACATCTAGTGTATGGTGGACTTGTTAAATCCTTACATCTAGTGTACGGTCGACTTGTTAAAACCTTACATCTAGTGTATGGTGGACTTGTTAAAACCATCCATCTAGTGTACGGTGGACTGGTTTTAACCTTACATCTAGTGTACGGTCAACTTGTTAAAACCTTACATCTAGTGTACGGTCGACTTGTTAAAACCTTACATTTAGTGTATGGTGGACTTGTTTAAACCATACATCTAGTGTACGGTGGACTGGTTATAACCTTACATCTAGTGAACGGTCGACTTGTTAAATCTTTACATCTAGTGTACGATGGACTTGTTAAAACCATCCATCTAGTGTACGGTGGACTGGTTATAACCTTACATCTAGTGTACGGTCGACTGTTAACCATGTTGATTTTCTATAGACTGTGGATTTACGGTTGAATTAATCTTTTTACAATCAATACAAACTGAAGTATTCTATGAAACAACTGTCCTTTTCTGTATCCACTATTTACGAATGATACATTTGTACATTAGGATGTGTCCAGGTATCTACTGTTTAGAAAGAGTTTGCGTGTACATGTATGTTTCGTATGAGTTTCTTTATGAGGTACATTATACAATGATGAGCCGAATGATAACTGTAAGAGCAAGGGACTCTTTGCATTCCAGTACAAGTTAACTCGACCATGAATTGTCTTGTAGCAACGGGGTATCACCAAACCTGTGCAATACAGCTACGCTTTAGCTAATAATCTCAAACAGCAGTACGAGGACTAAAGAGACTACACGTGTATGTCCGATCATCCGCATACAATCTTAATCATTAATCTGTTCTACACGTAACGACAATCAAAGTTCGTCCGGCTACACTAACTTTGTCTTGTAAGCCGGACGTAAACTCTCTACATAAACACGAAGACTTTGGTCGACATACGTCTGACTGTAGTATTTTCTTTCTGGTTGAGCTGATATACCGGAAAGCGATAAAATTATATCTTTTAAGATATCAAATATTTTCTTGGATAAGCCAAATAGGCCACCTTGTGTTACGCTAGTTGTAGTGCTGCAAGCTCTGAGAGAAAGCGTGTCTTGGAAATTGTGTTTGTATATTTGCTCATGTGTGTTGTATTTATGGCTCAGGAATCCATTTGTTGTCATATTTATTTAGAATACTTTAACTCAGATCTAATACCAGGAACAAACAGCTGTTAACGGCATACAGTTATAACTGGTTTAGAATTATATATCGCATGAAGATGACTTCAAAAACAGAATTAAGTGTACACCATAATGTTCTTTTCTATAGCTGCAATCGTATAAGTGTCTGATAACCAAATGAAAAACAAGTATGATTCATACTTTAAGCAATACAATAACTAACGTGTTATAAAAAAAGAACCAAAGAGTCGGTTACTTCGACATCAAGACACCAGCGTTGATCCGGTTTTGGAATGAAATGGCAATGTGATTGTGTTCGGATATGATGTTTAAACGTTAGTCACTGTAATTAATTTATTACTGTCTGTTGAGATCGCGTGTTTGTGGAGGTGAATGCAGTGTGTGTTATGATATTTGTAAATAAAACGGCATTGCTTATTTCATCGAATCAGTAATTGAAATAAAGTAAATAACTATATGATTCCAATGTTGTTAGTCATGTTTCATTCAAATAGTAACATTTTGTCTCTAGAACATGCCATAAAGTATTAAATAAGAACGCTTGCAGTGCCACTGCCTTACTATCCTTTTGAATGGCAGTTGCTGGATATTGACCACAGCTGAAACACACAGTATCGAGAAAACAGTCTTAGTAAAACACACAGTATCGAGAGAGCAATCTTAGTGAAACACACAGTATCGAGAAGGCAGTCTTAGTGAAACACACAGTATCGAGATAGCAGTCTTAGTGAAACACACAGTATCGAGAGAGCAATCTTAGTGAAACACACAGTATCGAGAGAGCAGTCTTAGTGAAACACACAGTATCGAGAGAGCAGTCTTAGTGAAACACACAGTATCGAGAGAGCAGTCTTAGTGAAACACACAGTATCGAGAGAGCAGTCTTAGTGAAACACACAGTATCGAGAGAGCAGTCTTAGTGAAACACACAGTATCGAGAGAGCAGTCTTAGTGAAACACACAGTATCGAGAGAGCAGTCTTAGTGAAACACACAGTATCGAGAGAGCAGTCTTAGTGAAACACACAGTATCGAGAGAGCAGTCTTAGTGAAACACACAGTATCGAGAGAGCAGTCTTAGTGAAACACACAGTATCGAGAGAGCAGTCTTAGTGAAACACACAGTATCGAGAGAGCAGTCTTAGTGAAACACACAGTATCGAGAGAGCAGTCTTAGTGAAACACACAGTATCGAGAGAGCAGTCTTAGTGAAACACACAGTATCGAGAGAGCAGTCTTAGTGAAACACACAGTATCGAGAGAGCAGTCTTAGTGAAACACACAGTATCGAGAGAGCAGTCTTAGTGAAACACACAGTATCGAGAGAGCAGTCTTAGTGAAACACACAGTATCGAGAGAGCAGTCTTAGTGAAACACACAGTATCGAGAGAGCAGTCTTAGTGAAACACACAGTATCGAGAGAGCAGTCTTAGTGAAACACACAGTATCGAGAGAGCAATCTTAGTGGAACACACAGTATCGAGAGAGCAATCTTAGTGAAACACACAGTATCGAGAGAGCAATCTTAGTGAAGACTAAGGGCAAGTTTTCTGGTCCCCATTGTGATCTCGTTGAGAAACATTATATTTCCTTGTGTAAGTGAAGGTCGAGGTTTTTGTATTACGCCTATTAGTGTGCCTTGTTGTTTCTTTACCACTACCCTTGTCCTCAATTTGATTTTTAATGGCGGGTATCGTAGATGAAAGAACGGACGCTTAACCTTCTGGATCATCTGGTCTTATTCTCTTTTTTTAAGGATCTCTATATAATCTATGTTTGCCCTAGTTTTATTGTTCGAATATCTGTTTTCTGACACTTACGTATGCTCTCTGTTTGTGCATCGTCTTGCTTACTTCCATTGATTTTGTGTTAGAATAACAGTTAAGTTCACACATCAGTACTCCCTTGTAGTTTTATTGCTCTATATCAATAAAATCAGAAAATCTCATCATTTAAAATGATCCTTTTATGACAAAAATTTACAAAAATGACACTAGCTAACTGGCTTTTTTTCTGTTTTTTTTTTCATTTTTCAGGAAATATGCAAAAAAACTGTTTTTCACAGGAATTTGTACATCATCTTAAAAGTCTTTGGTAAAAACTATGATATACGTTTCAGCAGTTTAGACTCATTTGAGCGACGAAGTATTTACTATAACGTCATTTGACTGGTTATTGACATGACATTAAGTTCCATCATAATATAGCAACTGGCAGAAACAATATAATCGAAAGTCACTATCTCATTTGAAATGTTTTATAGTTTAAATTTATTACTGGTAAAGAAACTATCAAGAAAATACGAAAAGAGTGCATCAAAGAAACAAACACATGGCTTTTTGCAAGTTTTAACAATCAACAGGCTGTTTTAGATGTATATATGTAATCGATTCTCTCATTTAACGCATGTTGCTCAATCTCTCATACCGCTTAGCAGTACATCTTTTCCGAAACAGAATTGCTAGGTAAAGAGCTGCTCATGCGCGTATGTATAACTGTACTTATACATGATACAGTGAAAGAAATACGTGTTCAGTATTTGAAATATAAAGACCTTCCAAACAGATATAACGTTTAATGATAATTTATAATACCTTTTTAACTGTGCATTAAACCAACTGTTGACTGTGAAACCTGTTGTAGTATGCTACCTCTACACATGTACTACATGCACCGTAATTTAATACCAGTGTTCGAGAAATATACCTGTTGTCGACAAACATCTAAAACTTATGATATTTGATGGATTACACAAACTTATCCTGTTACTGACGTGATTTGACTAGGTTTACAACTTGGCAGTGTTGACTTGCGTTATGTTTTCAATATATTGATATCTTGGCAGATATTACGATTCCGCTGTATCCTAACAGGTTTAACAGACAGGTATGTCTGTACCACGTATCGAGCAAGTTGGTTAATTAATTATGGTTTGCGGTTTACTACGCATTAAATGTACACATTTACATACGTACCTTCCGGTTTAAACAGACATAAATCGGCATTACATCCGGGACTCCTGCTAGACAATACCCACTTAAAATCACAT